GCTGGAGGCAGGCCTGCCTTGGTGCTCCCCTGGGGCTACCCCGGCTCCGGGCCAGGCCCCAGCCTCCCTCATGCACCTTGGTTTGGGTTACGGTGAGCTGGGGAGGCGAGGGGAGGGGACCCCCCCGCGCGGGGGGAGCTTCCCGCGGCTGCTGGGCCCCTGCCAGGCTCTGAGCTCATCCGTGGGGATGAGATCACGGCAGCCGGGGCTGGGGGGGCACGGCTCGGCCTGCCTGTCCCCATCTCCCCCGGCTGCACTGGGGCAGGTGCATGGGGCTCGGCGCTGCTGGGGGCTCCAGGCCACGCAGGGTCACCGCTGCCACCGCCGGGGGCCCCAACCCCGTGTCTGCAGCGTGGTCAAGGTCACGGGGGCAGCGCCCCTGGCCTCGGCCCACGGCCCCTTATCACCGGCAGCGCTGGCTCGGGCGCCTCTGGCACGAGTGGCTCTTGGCAGGGCCTCGCGCCGCCCGGCCCAGTTTCCATTCCCTGCCGTGGCTGCAATTATCGCTCCTGTCCCGTCCAGCTCCGCGCTCTGCCGCAGCCGAGCCCCTGCCTCCCCTCCTCCTCCGCGCATCCAGCACCCCGGCCCCCGCTCTGGGCTGGCACCCCACCCCCACTGCCACGGCAGGGCCCTGGGGAGGGGGGGCGCAGCACCACCGAGCCCTGCCCCCTGCACCAGGGCCAGAGCTGCAGGGCAGGGCTGGGGGCTCACGCCAGGGACGCTGGACTCCAGCGGGGCCAGGGCCAGGCCCAGAGCTGGTGCCAATATGGGAGGGCAGATGCCCCAACCTGGGTGGGGGCACAGGGCTGAAGCCCCCCGTGGCCGGCCCCATGCCTGCACTGCAGGCGCTGGGGTGGGGGCACACTGACAGCACAGCGGCGGGTGAGGACAGTGGGCAAGGCGATGTCCATCTGCCTGGCCCCACATCCCGGAGGGCAAAGCACTGCAGCCACAGCCTGTCTCCAACCGTGTTTAATGGGGAAGCCCCCGGCCGAGCCCGCTCCGGGCTGTGCCCCCGCCACCCGCAGTCCGTGCGTGCCCCCAGCGCTACGTGTAGAGGCGGACGGTGGCGTCGGCGCCCGCAGAGAAGAGCCAGGGCTGCGTGGGGTGGAAGGCGACGTCCAGCACGCCCAGGTCCTGGGTCAGCGCGTGGCCCTTCAGCACCTTCACGGGCACCAGCAGCGGGTTCTGGAGCAGGTCGCTGCAGGGGAGTGAGAGGGGGGCCGTGAGGGGGGGGGCTCCCTGGCTGCTGCCCCCATGGCCCTTGCACACTCACAGACCCACTCCATGGCCTTTGCACAAGTGCATGCTCAGGGAACAGCCCCCATGGACACTCTTGGACCCACCCCTGTGGCCCTTGCACACACAGACACCTGCCCCCATGGCCCTTCACACCCACAGACCCACCCCTGTGACCCTTGCACACTCACAGACCCTGTGGCTCTTGCACTCACGGCCCTTACACATCAATCATCCCTGGTGGCCCTTGCACACACAGACTGTGGTTCTTGCACACTCACAAGCCCACCCCTGTGGCCCTTGCTCACTCACAGACCCACCTGTGGCCTTAGCACAAGCACAAGATGGCCCCTCCTTGGCCCTTGCACTTATGGACTCAGCTATGTGGCCCTTGCACACTTACAGAGCTGCCCCTGTAGTCCTTGTACACTCACAACCCCACCCCTGTGGCCATCACACAGTCGCTCACAGACCAGCCCCTGCGGCTCTTGCTCCCCATGGACCCCACCCCGTGGCTCTTGCACGCGCAGGAAGGCAGCCCCGCGCCCACGTACTTGTAGACCATGCCGTGGCAGACGATGACGGTCCCGTCGTCCGAGCCCGAGGCGAAGAGCGGGTAGTGCTTGTGGAAGGCCACGGCCCTCAGCGCCTTCCTGTGGTGCCTGCGTGGGGACAACCGTCAGTGCCGGGCACCGCAGGCTCTCGGCCGGCGAGGGGGGGCCATGGGAAACGGCCGTCCCGAGAGTCCTGCAGCCCCCCGCCCCCCTGCCGCGCCCCGGGGCCGGAGGAGCCGCGACACCTCTGGGAGCAGTGGCGAGGGGGGCGGGTTCGGCCCCCAGGACGGGGGTCCCGCGGGGCCCCAGCCCCAGCCCGGCAGCCCGCTCACCTCAACACCTTGTAGGGCTTGGTGGAGAGGTCCATGTCGAACCAGGTCAGCTTGCTGTCGTAGCTGCCGCAGATCACGTTGTCGCCTGCGGGAAGAAGGACGTCGGTGGGGGCTGCCAGCCCCACCGCCCCGCGCCCGTGCACCCCGCCGGGGAGTTTCACATTCCTCCTGCGGGCCAACCTGCGCTCGCCGGGGTGGGACAGGAGCGCCCGACCGGCCGAGGGGGCTGCCGAGCCGCGTACGTACCCCCGGGGTGGATGGCCAGGCTGGACACCCACTTGCAGTTGGCCATGAGCTTCTTGGTCAGCTCCTGCTTGAGGAGGTTGTAGACGCGCACGAAGCGCTGCGTGGCCACGAGGAAGAAGGGGCGCGTGGGGTGGAAGAGCACGCACTGCACCTGCCCCTTGCTCTTGCGGAAGGGGCTCTGGCTCCAGCGCTTGCTGGCCTGGTGGATCAGCACCTGCACGTGCCCGTTGTCAGGCAGGACGCTGGCGAAGTAGTCGCCTTTCCCGTGCCAGGTCACCTGCTTCACTGCCTGCGGGACAGACCCAGGGGGATCGCGAGGCTCCCGCACCTTCTCTCCTGCCACGGCCCAGCCCGGCGGGCGCGAGCAAAGGGGTGCAGGAGCCTGCGCGGCTCTGGGGCCCCCACATCCGTGCCCAGGGACAGAAACCGAACCAGGCGACAGGACCCAACCGGGGCAGGGGGGTGGTGGCACAATGACGACCGACCTGCAGCGCACGTGGGCAGCCTCTGTGCACGGCATGGGGCAGATGGGGAAGGGAGCAGGAAGCAGAGCAGGTTGGGCAGGGAGCAGAAAGCAGAGCAGCTGGCAGAGCCGGGAGTAGAAAGCAGGCTGCAAGATCAGCTGGAGCAGAAAGCAGAGCGGCAGAACAGGTGGGGAGCGCAGGGCTAGGAGCAGAAAGCAGAGCAGCAGACTGGGCAGGGAGCAGAAAGTGGGACAGGAGATCTGGCAGGGAGCGCAGGGCGAGAAGCAGAAAGCAGAGCGGCAGAGCAGACAGGGAGCATAGGGGCTGGGAGCAGAAAGCAGCGCAGATGGAGCAGGGGATCAGAGCGGTAGTCGGGGGCGAGGGGCTCACTGTGGCCTGCCTGCACGCGCAGCCCGTGCCCCGGGCAGGCCCCCCCGCCCCGCGCCCTCTGCCCTCTCGCACCTTTCCGTGCTGGACGACGAGCCGGACGCCCCGCGCGTGCTCCTCAGCCGTGGCCGCGACCCACTGGACGGGCTGCAGCCGCTCCTCCTCCGGGGGCACGTAGGCGTCGAGCAGCTGGTCCGTGGCCCCGTACAGCAGCTTGTCCCCCAGGCAGGGGTTCACCAGCAGCACGGCCTGCTCCCTGCGGGCACAGACGGGGCAGACAGCCCGGGTCACCTGGCAGCCCCCGGCCAGGGCCCGCGGGGCAGCCGGGGAGCGCCCGGGGGCAGGCAGGGGGTCACTCACACGCAGACGGCCACGAGGCACACGGCGGGGTTGGGGTTCCAGGCCACGCTCTTCACCGCGCCGCCCACCGGCAGCGTCTTCAACCTCCGCCCCCCGGCCCCCCCCCGCCTGCCGCTCGGGCTATTTTTGCCGCCTGATGTCAGCCGCGTTCCCAGCCCGCGGCCAGGAATCCGGGAGTTGTGCAACGCCCGAGAGCCGAGGAGGCCGCCGGCAGCTGCCAGCCTGGAAACTCGAGCGCTATAAAAAGCACGTGTGCCATTAAACGGCATCTGCTCCCAATCTCCCGCCTCCCAGGCCGCAGCGGGCTCTGCCGCCCGCCGCTCCAGGCTCACTTTCCCCGCTGCTCCTGGGGGGGTCCCGCCGGCAGCTGGAGCCCCCCCCTTCCTGCGGCACGGCTGAGCCCCCGAGTCTGGCTCATCCCCAGGCTCTTGGTGCTTCGGGGGCCTGGCCGTCACCCCCCTGCAGCACCCTGGAAGAGCCCAGAGGCAGAGGAGGCTGCTCCTGCAGCCAGAGCGCGCCCGGCTCCGCACAGCCCCCGTGTCCCGTGTGCCACGCTCACCTGACACCAGCCACTGCCCGCTGGGGGACACGCTGAGGCAGCGCACGAGGCTGCCGTGCCCCCGGTAGACCTGGGAGGGAGAGAAGGCAGCTGGGATGCGGGTGGCATCTGCAGGGGACCCCGACCCCCACCTTGCACAACGCTCGCAAGGCTGAGATGTCCCAAGCCCCTCATGGCATGCGCCGTGCACAGCCGTGACGTGGCCGGAGCCCCGTGAGCACACGTGCGCACGCATGGCTCCACCCACCCAGTGTGCACGGTCCCGGGAGATCCTGCTAGAACCAGACACGTGCCCACCCCTAAGACACAGCGCTGACAGCGGCACGACCCTTACCAGGGCCTGGGTGGTGGGGAATGGCTGCAGGTCCCGTGGCTTCGGCAGTTTGGGGATCAGGTCCTCCGGGTCCACGTTCACCTGGAAGAGAGCGCGCCTGTGTGAGTGCCTCCATCCCGGGCGCCTGCCCCCAGGTCCCTCCACCCTGGGACAACAGTGCAGGCCTGCCGCACCCGGCCTCAACAGCGTGGGCACCGGGGCATCGGTAGCTATTGAGCACGGGGCACGGCCTCTGCATCGCCCTGCCTGGACCTCAGTGCTGGAGGCTGCAGGACAGGGAAAACCCTGCTCGGCCCCAGTCACTCTCTCTTTAGCCTCTGATCTCCGCCCCGTGCAACTGAGCAAAATGGACCTGGGTCCACGGGTCTCTGCGCTGCGGTGAGAGACCAGCTCCCCGGCCAGTGGCCGAGACCCGGCGGGTGCACGGTGCCACACACCCGCATCTTCCTCTGCCGCGGGCACAGGTAGAGGTCGAGGCAGCGCTCGAAGCGTTCGTGGATGAAGCGGGGGTAGGCAGGGACGGCGCGCAGGCACCCGAACCGCTGCGGCACGAAGTTCAGCTTCCGCTCCGCCGGCTCCTGCTGCTCCCACGCCAGCCTCTGCAGGGCAAAGGGCAAAGGTCGGCAGCCAGGTCCCCCTGACGTGGAGCCCCCCCAGTGCCACGCAGGGTCAGAGGGCAGGTAGGGGCTAAGCCCGGCTGCTTTGGGGTGCTGCATTCTTGCACCCGCTTTTGTCAAGCAGCCCCACTCCCTGCCCGGGCTTCTCCCCCATGTGCAGGGAGCTGCCCCCAACCCGCTGGGCCTGGACCACACAGCTTCTGCATGCCCTGCGCAGACCATGTACCCCAATACCCCCCAGGGTCCCTCCACACCAGCTGCCCCCGGCCAGACAGGGCCCCCTCACCTCCTCCTCGCTGAGCAAGTACTCGGGTGGGGGGTTGTACGACTCCTCGTGTCCCGGCAGCCGCAGCTTCGGGGCCGGCACGTGCATTTTGTGCCGCCCCAGCACAGAGTTGGGGTCTTCCTGGGCCCAGAGGTCGTAGAAAGTAGGCACGTCCTCCTTGGGCTTGCGGGGCTGGATCCAGCCCATCTTGATGGCGTGGACCATCTTGGAGACCTGCCGGGCAGCGACGGGGACAGGGTTGGGATGGGTCAGCCCAGAGCTGGGGGGCACGGGCCAGGGAGGAGAGGAAGGAGACTGGGGTGCTGCAGCTCAGGACCGACAGTCCCAGGGGCACACCGGGGGCACTAGGGCTGCGGGGCAGGATGGTGGGAAGTGAGTGAGCGAATGTGCAAAAAAGTAAGTGAATATGTGAGCACGTTTAAGCAGGAGTATGGGTGAGCATGCATGTGAGTGTGTGCACATGAGTATGCACACGTGGCACACGTACATGGAAAGTGCAGGCGAGCAAGGGGCTGTGGCAGCGTGTGCTGGTAGCAGAACAGCTGGGGCCAACGGGCCAGGGCTGGGACGCGCTGCGTGCACACGGGGCTGTGGGAGGGCAGCTGGGGCAGCAATGGGGCACTGGGCTGCCCTAGCACAGCAGGCCCCATCCTTGCTGCGGGTCCCGCGACCCGGCGTAGCTGCCGAGGGCCCCCGGCACGTGCCGGGCAGCTCGGGGGCTCTCACCTTCTCCTTCTCGATGAGGGAGGGGATGAAGCTGCGCTTGTCGGCCGGGCGGTTCGTCACGGGGTGGATCATGACCTCGTGGCTGAAGAAGTCGACCGCGGGCTGGGGAGACAGAAGGGTTACGACGGCCGTGCCAGGCCGGCTGCCCCCCGCGGCGCCCTTCCCGGCCCGGGGACACAGGCATGTGGCCACGCGTCCCCCCCATCACTCGGGGTGCGGAAGCCCAGGCCGGCCCAGCGCCGAGCCGGGAGCAGGCTGCACCGTCCCCTACCTCGTAGGGGTTGAAGCGGACGTCCCCGAACTGCCCCCTCTGCAGCCGCTGCACCAGCTCCACCTGCTCGTCCGTCAGCTTCACGTCCGCCCCCGTCATCTTGTCCCTGACCGTTCGCCTGCGGGGAGGGTGGCTGTGAGCCACGGCCACGTGGCCTGCCCCTGGAGAGGGCTAGCCCCTCAGTGCAGGCGTGGGCATGGAGCGGGAGGAACCGAGCCACGGGCACGACCCCTTGGCAGGGAAGGAGGGTGATGGCACATGCTAGAGGATGAGGCCACAGTGGCGAGGGAAGAGAGCTGTGGGGCAGCTGCCCTGGGGAGGGGGGAAGGATGCCTGCCCCACCCCAGCCCCCCTCACCAGTAATCGGGGTTCTCCATCTTGTCCAGGAACTTGTCCAACTCGTCCAGGCTCCGGATGGGCTTGTAGATCCTCTTACCCTCCAGGTCGTAGCCCACGTGCGGGAAGTCCTGGTACCACTCCACGGGGATGTTGCCCACCGTGTTGCGGATGTCCTGCCGCGGGGGAAGAGAAGGGAAGGTGAGCGCATTCCCGCAGCTCAGGGGAAACAGAGGCAGGGAGGAGATGGGGACGGAGGCTGCACGGCTGGATCCCAGACCTCTGCTCATGCCAGCACCAGGCTGGTGCCCCTCCGCCTCGGTGTAAGCACGGCAAGGCTGGCATGGCCCTGCTGCCCCTATCCCGACTGCCGGGAAGACACTGAGCTCCCCGCTCCGGCACGAGGCCTGGGCTTGCTCCTGGGTGCCGTGGCTCAGGGCTGCGGTCCCTGGAGCCCGTGCTGCCAGGCTGGAGGGGGATGTGCTGACTGCGCTGCCCTTCTTGTGACGGGACTTTGCCCCGCGACCCCCACGCTGGGCTCAAGCCCCGCCAGGGGCAGGTGAGGGTGCGACAGGTGCCCGGCAGGATCGGGGCCACGTGTGACAGCGGCTTTTGTAGCCGGTGATGCTGGCTGGAGCCACCCCAGAGGCCCCCAAGTGAGGCTCCTGCCCCCAGGGCTCCCTGCCACGCCAGGGACAGGGGCTCTGCCCCCCCAGACCCGGTGTTGCACCCCAGTCCCCACAGCAGCAGCCAGACCCCGGCAGAGATGGAGCAGGGACCCACCCTGGCAGGTGCCTGCACCGGGGTCGAGGAAAACCCCATAACCGCCAGGGCCTGATCCCTTGCACGGCTGAAGGCGCTGGGCACAGGCCGGGCATCGCGGGCCCAGCTCCTGCTGGCAGCGAGGGCTCCTTGGGGCTTCCCTCCAGCGCACGCAGCCTCTGGCAGGC